AGCGCAATCGCGCGCAAGACGCCGAGCTTTGCACGTCGCCCTTTGAGCCCACTCGACACAGGTTTCCTTCTCGGTCCTCCCGCAACCCACGATTTGATGCAGCATCGTTTGTTGTGTTACCCGTAGTCTTTTGAGTCTTTTGCCCGTGGAATCCATGATTCTGTCGATCATAGAATGCGCTCGACGACGGTGGCGTCGAATAGGCGCAAGCGCTCCCGAACTGAGAAACATTTATCCAATGACAAATTTTTCATTGCCCAAAATTTCCGCCAGCCCACAGCAACGCGATTGGCGATCTCCTCCCCCGCCGGGTCCACAGGAAAACAGCGTCGCGCCTAGCAGCTCCATGCCTTCTCCCGGCGGCAGCACTTCTATAGAAAAACCGTCGGCAATGGATATGCGCGAGAGAGCGTGATCCACCGCCGCTCTACTGTGGAAAATTGCCGTCTTTTTCCTCTGGAACCCGCCCCCCCCCCCCTCCGAAAATCACCCCCCCCTCCCCCCCCCTTCCCCTCCCCTCCCCCCCCCTCCCCTCCCCCCCCCCCCCCCTCTCCAATTACTCAATATGAAATACTACTCTCCCTCTTACCCCCGATGGCGGCCTGAAAATAGCCGACCCCCCCCCGCGTACTGATTTTTTTTTACACACAGGATTCCCGGGAGTTGGGTTTTCGCCTGCGTTTTTTTTTAAATGCTGCTCTCGCTGAGGCGCCGGCCTCATTTCTGTTCCCGAATCGTTCCGAATCGTGCTCCCGCTGCAGCGTGGGCCTCATTTTCGGATCGGTGTTTGGCCTCCGTCGTTCAGGATGGCGTTCTCGCCCCAACGCGGGCCTCTTTTTCGCGCGCCCATCCGCCCGCCACCACCGCGCCGCACCACCACCACCACCACCACCACCACCACCACCACCACCACCATCACCACAACCACCACCAGCACCAGCACCAGCACCACCACCACAACCACGCACACACGCACGCACGCACGCGCACCACCACCCACTACGCACGTGCGCGCGGAGCCGCAGGTCTGCTACAACACGCGTCCGCGGATTGAGAAAATCAACGCCATGGTAAGGGATGGGGAGGGGTAGGACGTCGGATATGACGCGGGCGCACCTAGCTTGCCTCCCCCCCTCCGCTGGGTTCCAGCATGCTGGACCCCCCCCTCCCTCCCCTCCCCGGCCAAACCCCCCCCCTCCCCTAACCCCGCCCCACCCCCCCCCTCCCCCTCGAAAACAACGGTGTCACTACCGGTTCGAACCCCCCCCCCCTCACCCTCGAAAGCCCCGGGGGGGAAACCGGAAGGGGCCCTACCGGTTCGAACCCCTCCCCCCCCCCCTCGAAAACCGAAGGGGGGTCACTAAACCGGTCCACTGTTGTTCCCAGCACCCTGTCCTCACCACCACTGTCCCCACTGGTTCCACCACCGTCCTACTGTCCCCACCAGTGCCCCCACCACTGTCGCACTGTCCCCACTGTTCCCACCACTGTTCCCACCACGGTTCCACTCTCCCCACTTTCTCCACGGCCCCAACCACTGCCCGACTATCCCCACTGTCCCCACTGTCCCACTGACTCCTCCGCTGTCCCACTGAGCTGTCCCACTGTTCCCACCACTGTCCCCAGTCCCCGCCACTGTCCCCCACTGTACCTCTGTCCCATTGTCCCACCGCCGTCCTCGCCACCGCCTTCACCACTGTCCCCACCACCACTGTACCCTCCACTGTCCCACTGTTTCCACCTCATTCCCACTGTCCCCACACCGCTGTCCCCACCACCACCGCCCCCACCACTGTCCACTGTCCCCACTGTTTCCACCATTGTCCTCACCACTGTCCCCACCACTACCGTCCCCACCACTGTCCCACTGTCCCCACCACTGCCCCGCTGTCCCCTCACCACTATCCCCACCATCACCGCCCCCCCCACTGTCCGCACCCCCACTCGGTTTTCGAGAAGGGGGGGGTTCGAACCGGCAGTGACCCCCCCCGGTTTTCGAGGGGGGGGGTTCGAACCGGCAGTGACCCCCCCCCCTTTCATGATGAACTGGGGGGGGAGGGGTTCGAACCGGCAGTGACCCCCCCTGGTTTTCCCGAGGGGGGGGGGAGGGGTTCGAACCGGTAGTGACCCCCCCGGTTTTCCGCCAGCAGCGGTAGAACACGCTCTTTCATATGTGCCCCCGCCGTGCGAAACTGATCTCGTTTGTTTGCAGTTTGCACTTCGTTGGATGCAAAGATAAGCCCCTGGCTTGCAAGGCAGACTTCAGCATCAATATCATTGTCTTCACAGAGACCCAGTTTCTTACCACTAACGTCTGGTCGTCAGCGAAGGCGATGTGCGTCAAGCGATGGCCCCAGAAGTCGTGCCCTACGTTGGTGCCGTAGCCACGTCTCTTCCACACCTCGCTTATTTCCGCCAGAGCTATGCAAATGAATAAGAATAGGTGTGGGAAAATCGCCCTGTTTCACCCCCCGGTTCATCTCGAAGTACCGGCTGTCTGCTACCACCCACATAGACACGTAGCCTTTCACTCCCAAATATAATCGCCTTAGAGCAGACACAGTCGACGCGTCTACTCGTTTTTGCAGAAGTGCCTGAAACAAAGCAAACTGATATACTCGGTCAAATGTTTTTTCTGCATCAAGTGTTGCAGCCTATAGCTCCTCCTCCCATTCCAACGCCTTTTCTACGGCCATTCTTGCAACGTGTACTGCGTCAGCGCACCCCTGGCCTGGGCGGAAGCCAAACTGCTCGTTGGACAACTTAGAGTCGATGGTGTCTGCGACCCTGTTGTAGAGGACCGTTCGTAAGAGCTTCGCCATAACTGGAGTGACAGCGGACGGCCTGTAATTATTGGGCATGGTTGGGTCGCCATTCTTGAACAAAACCCTCAGCTTTGTGATCTTCCAATTTTCAGGTGGCGCCAGTTTTCCGCTGACAATCCCTGTGAAGACATCAGCAGTGGCCGCAATCAAATCAACGTGCCCTGCTTTGAGCATCTCGGCCACGAGTCCATCATCTGCGACAGTCTTGCCCTTCTTGAGCTTCGCCAAAGCAACTTTCAATGTTTCCACTGTTACGCGATCCTCCTGTTCACAGTGCGGTGGCGCCGCAAGCTGCCCGTGGGCATCTTGGTAAAAGTCCTCGTAAAACGAAGCAAAAAAAAAAATAGAGAGAAAAAAAAAACAAAAAAGGGCAAAAACCTGGCACATCGACATCTGGTCAGTTTTCAAGGCCCCAGTGTTGTCCTGTATTCTCAATGTTCTTTCCACTCCTGTGTGCCGTGGTTCAAGCTCGGGGCCACCATGTTAGATACCGCATTATGGCTGTGACCACATGCGTCCCCAGCAACTATTGCGGCACACCTCTCACACGCTTCGTGGCCACATAGGGAGCTCCACCAAAGGCTCCAGTGGCTGTGACCACATGCGTCCCAGCCATCCATTCCAGCACACCCCTCACATGTTTCGTGGCCCCAGAAGGCGTTCCACCGAAGAGGATACGTATTACTGCGGTGGTCACAACTGCATATGGTTGGGTCCTCCGCCAGGAAAATGCACAAACGAAAGCAAGGGTCTGCGGACCCCGTTAGGCAAAGAGGATCCGAGATTGGGGGGTGCATTTTCTTCGAGCGGGCACGCACGGAACGCAATTCTTCCACACCGAATGAGAGTTTACCGCGTTATTTTTGTTATCGAACGGGGGACAGTGGAACACAACTAAGAGACAATTCTGGGCCCCCGCCCTTCCCGGGAAAACTCGGCTGCGCAAGGGGGATCGTCTCTGCCGAATGGACTTCTTACCTGGACAAGTGCATCTGCATCGACTTCTTCGAGCTCTTCGGCTCAATCGAAACCCAAGAGCTGAACGGCAAAATGCAGGCGCAACCTTAAACCAAGATTTGTGCAGTTTGTGGGACGCAACGCACCGGCGGAAAGCAAGGGGCCACGTGTAAGAGTCCAGGCACAAAAATCAACGCACGAGCGGCCAACACGGCGAGACAGGGGCCACCTGCTCAGGACACGATCAAGAATCTTCAAATGCGGGCAATGCTTAGGGAAATGCACACAGAATGAAAGCAGCACCAAGCCAGAGGTCCGAGGCAACGACCACCGCCTGTACAGTCGTACTCCAACCCCAGACCCACCCGCCGCCTCCAACGAACGCGCCAGACCCTCAAGAAATCACACACTTTCGGATTCGATAGAAACCCCGCGCCTTCTCTCCCCGAAAATAGATATGATAACGCTCCACAAGCCCCACTGCAGGATGGCAAGGCTCAGCTTAGAGGGGTAGCATACGGCTCACTGCAGAGTTTGACCATGGACCGAGTGAGCTTGCATTGCGAATGTCATGCACTGCGCATCATGTTCGGTGGCAACTCATGGGAGCCTCCCAACCCATCTTGTCGGCTCTTGCGAATCGACGCGAATCGACGCTGAATCGACACTAATCGACGCTAACCGACGCTAGATCGGCGATATCTCATCGACCCCCAGACGCTAATCGCTAATCGACGCCAGTCGACACTGAAGACTGAATTAAGAGGGTATACCAGGCTCCCATCATTTGCTACCGAACATCATGGGACACAGTCCTCGTGATAGTTGCAGGCAAGCAGACTCGGGAACGAAGAGATGTTCTACCAACGGCGAGCCTCGACCACGAATGGGTTACACGATCTGCGCCCAAGGAGCAGCCCTAAAAACAGAGACCATCCTCCTCCTCCTCCTCACTCTCCTCCTCCGCCTCCTCCTCCTCCTCCTCATCATCATCACCACCACCACCACCACCACCACCACCACACCACCACCACCACCAACCACCATCATCATCATCATCATCATCATCATCATCATCCTCATCATCATCATCATCATCATCATCATCATCAATCATCAGCATCATCATCATCATCATCATCATCATCATCATCATCATCATCATCAATCAGCATCATCGTCATCGTCTCATCATCATCAGCATCATCATCATCATCTCATCATCATCATCCTGCTTTGCTCACTGGTGGCAAAGCGTCTCAACCATCAAGAGCACCGGTTCCAAGAGCGACAAGTACACTGGTCAATTGAACTTAGTTCTTCAAAAGCAGGAAACTGCTGGTAAAAGTACCGCCGGCCCCCGTGTGGGGCCACCAGGCTGCGAGGCGCGTGATTCGCAGTTTCCTGTACCAGTTGTAGTTTCTAGTTTCCAGTGTTACAGTTCTGCTTCTTGCTGGTTACTGTAACTAGTTATTGACCGCGCGAGGGGGGGGGGAGGCCAAAACAGATTTTCCAGCGTCCCCTGAGCGTTTGTCTGAATTACTGGGGGGCTCGAATTCGACACCCCTCACGCAGATCCGAGGGGTCGGGTCCAAAAACAACACGGGATTTGCCAACATTTTCTGAAATCGGTGCCACCCCTCACGCAGATCCGCGGGGTCGGGGTCCAAAAACACATGGGATTTGCCACATTTCTGAAATTCGGTGCCACCCCTCACGCAGATCCGCGGGGTCAGGGTCCAAAAACACATGGGATTTGCCACATTTCTGAAATTCGGTGCCACCCCTCACGCATATCCGCGGGGTCAGGGTCCAAAAACACATGGGATTTGCCACATTTCTGAAATTCGGTGCCACCCCTCACGCAGATCCGCGGGGTCAGGGTCCAAAAACACAGGGGATTTGCGACATTTCTGAAATTCGGTGCCACCCCTCACGCAGATCCGCGGGGTCAGGGTCCAAAAACACAAGGAATTTGCCACATTTCTGAAATTCGGTGCCACCCCTCACGCAGATCCGCGGGGTCAGGGTCCAAAAACACAGGGGATTTGCCACATTTCTGAAATTCGAACCCATCACGCACATCCATCGCAAGGCGTTGTAACCCAAACTGCGAGAACTCCCTCGGCCCTTTCATCGCAAGGTGTGGTAACCAAGCCCTTAAACCATACACGTCTTACCAATCGCCAGGTGTGGTAACCCCTCTTGTGATCAGTTGGTTTTGCTGATTGCGACTCGGCTTCGCAAGAAGTTTCGATACTGCTTCACGACAGCGCCAAGGCCTCAAGACTTAGCTCTTCCATGGCCCATTCTCCGAGAGAGGGGGCCGGCGGCAGGGGGCGAAGCCCTTACGGATATCAGGAACGTTGACGTCCAAGCACCTACCAGAAGCTCGACAGGCGACCTGCCTGGGCGAGCCAGAAAACGGTAAGCCATATGTGAAAAAGGATTACAAGATAAAAGTCAAACCGAGCATGCTGCGCCGTGTCCCGTTCACACTTCCAGCCTTGCTTCAAAAGCTGAAGTGTCTACAACATCCAAGCCTCATGAGACAGTACCATGTCGTCCACTCCTCATTGCATGCACAAGACTGGTCTGAAGATCTCAATCCTAAAGCTGCATACCGCCTCAACGTCTGAGCGCAACGCCCCATCACATAACGGGCCATCCCAAACCGCCAACGAATGAGGAACAGCGGGTAACACTTGTCGCGCGTACTAAGTGCATGATTAATGAATGTCTCGATCTCAGAGAGACGAACGTGATTCACCGCCGCTTTACTGTGGAAAATTCCCCCCCTCTTCCTCCGGAACCCGGGGGTCCCCACCCCCCTTCGAAAATACCCACCCTGCTGGACCACCCCCCCTCCCCTCCCCCTCCACCGGCAAAACCCCCCCCTAACCCCGACCACCCACCCACCCCTCCAGAAAACCGGAGGGGGTCACTACGGGTTCGAACCCCCCCCCCCTCCCCCCCCCCTCGCCGCCGGCAAACGATTCCCGCTCCTCGTGACAGTGGGACAGCGGAAAACCAGGGGGGGTCACTACCTGTTCGAACCCGCCCCCACCCCTCCGGAAAACTGAGGGGGGGTCACTACCAGCTCGAACCCCCCACCCTCCCTCCAGAAAACCGGGAGGGGGCCACTACTGGTTTGAACCCCCCCCTTCACCGCCAACAAACGACTCCCGAATCCCCACCACCGTCCGCACCACATCCTCTACCGCTGTCCCCAGCACCATCGTCCACACCACCACTGACCCACTTTTCCCACCACCGTCCCCACTGACCCACGATCCCTTGTAAATTACGCGGCACCCGCGCTCCAAAGGCCGCAATCCCTCGGAATTTACACGGGATCTGCGCTCCGAAAGCCGCGATCCCTTATAAATTGCCTTGGATTTGCGCTCCAAAAACCGCACCATCTCGACAAATTGCGCCGCACCCGCACTCCCAGGGCCACCATCCCTAAAAAATTACGCTGGATCCGCGCTCCCAGGGCCCCGAGCCCTCGAAAGTTACACGGCGTCCGCGCTCCCAAAGCCGCGATCCCTCGTAAACCACGCTGGATTTGCAATCCAAGCATCCTGGAGCGCTCAGGCCCGTCAAATTTTGCAAAACGAGCGTTTCGCTCGAGACATCCCCAGAATTTCTGCGCGCAAGACGCGTGATCCGCGAGCGGGCACGCCAAAAGTCAGATTTTCACATTTTTTGTGTTCAGGTCGGAGTTCCAGACCATGGTTTTCTCTAGGATTCTGCTGAAAATGCCCCAAACAAGTAACTGCAGACCCCGTTATTTATCAAGGATCCGAGATGGGGGCGTACGTTCTTCGGGCGGGCACGCGCGAAACGCATCTGTTCCATGCCGAATTGGACTTGACCTTGGTTTCTATTGGATAGGAACCTTTCCTGACATGAACGGGAAGCGCGTGAAAGGGAAGAGTTGCGCGAGAACTTGCAGCATCATCGCGATCAAATGTAGTACAGGCGAGCTCGCCGAACGCTCACAAGGGATACCCATGGACACGCGCCCCCCGAACGTGTACAAGCATCTTCCTGGTTATCCTCCTCACTCCTCCGCATGAGGACGACGACAGCGAAAACGACAATCGTGGGAGGAAGGGGAGGAGGATGAGGAGGAGGAGGAGGGGGAGGGGGAGGAGGAGGAGGAGGAGGAGGAGGAGGAGGAGGAGAAGTGGAGGAGGGAGGAGAGGAGAGGAGGAGGAGCAGAGCAAGAGCATGAACACGGGTGAGGAGGGTAATGGGGAGAGGACGAGAAAGAGGAGGAACAGGAGCAGGATGAGTAGAGAAGCTGTCCAAGACGAGGCAGAGGAGATGGGAAGAGAAGGAGGAAACGAGAGGAGGAGGAGGAGAAGGAGGAGGAGGTGATCACGCAATAACAGGAGGAGGAGGAGAGAAGGTGGAGGAGGAAAGGAGAAGAGAAGGAGAATTATAAGGATAATGATGACTATTCATGAGACAGTATTAATAAGGAGGAAGAGGAGGAGGAGGAGGAGGAGGAGGAGGAGACCAGATGGCTTCGAGGGCCCGTTCGAAGGCATGTTGTAAGGGATGTCTCGAGTGAAACGCTGATTTTCAACGAATGTATATATATATATATAAATAGATAAATAATATGTGTTTTTTTAAACAAAAAAATGGTTTGTCAATATGTTGGCTTCTTGGGCCATCTTGGGGGTCATCCGAGATCGCTCCGAAAAGATGCCTTACAAGAGCTGTGTCGGCATCCCATGTTTGTCGAGGATGTCTCGGGCGAAACGCCCATTTTCGAGGATCCGAAAATTAGGCGAGCGATTTCAAGATCTCCATTTGTGGAGGATATCTTAAGCGAAACGCCCATTTCTAGCAAAATACGTCTTAAGATACGACCCCCAACTTCACGATGTTGTGAGGATGTCTCGAGAGGAACGCTCATTTTGGAACCGTTCCTGACTGTTTTCAAAGACATCTGATTGGGTGACGGAGAGATGAAATGCGGAGTGTATCGATCCGGATGCACCGTGTCAAAGACTGTGCTGCGCTGCGCCGTGCTGAATTGCGATGTGCCATGCCGCCATTGTGCTCTATAGCGTTGTGGATCGAGTCTTCCTTTGCATCCGAGTCCTGACCGAACTGATCTGGATCTTAAGCTCGACCTGCCTGAACACATAGTAGCTGCCCCAGAGCTAATTGACAGGGGGATATGCCAGGAGCACGCACCGCGAAACGTCCCAAGGGACGCGCCAGGCGACGTGCCAGGGGACGTGCCATGGGGTCGCACCGCGGGACGTGCCAAGGGGACGCGCTACGGAACGTGCCGATGGATGTGCCATGGGATGCCCCAGGGGACGCGCCACGCGACATGCCAGGGAGACTCGACAAGGGACGCCCCACGGAACGTGCCAAGGAACGTGCCAGGTTGCAATGCTGAATGTATCGATCCTGATGTACCGTGCCGAAGTCTGTGCTGTGCTGGGCCGTGCTGAATTGCGATGTGCCATGCCGCCATTGTGCTTTATAGCGTTGTGGATCGAGTCCCCCTTTGCATCCGAGTCCTGACCGAACTGATCTGGATCTTAAGCTCGAGCTGCCTGAACACATAGTAGCTGCCCCAGAGCTCATTGACAGGGGGACATGCCAGGACGCGCCGCGGAACGTCTCAAGGGACGCGCCAAGAAACGTGCCAGGGGACGTGCCATGGGGACGCACCGCGGGACGTGCCAGGGGGACGCGCTACGGAACGTGCTGGGGACAAGCGTTTCGCTCGAGACATCCTGTCAAAATCCTCATGCTGGACATCCGCCTGAGCGACCTGGACACGTGAAAACAAGCTTTTCGCTCAACACATCCTCAACACATTCTCATGCTAGACATCCGCCTGAGCGACCTGCACACGTGAAAACAAGCGTTTCGCTCGAGACGTTTTCAGCACCTCCTCATTCTAGACATCCGCCTGGGCGACCTGTACACGTGAAAGCAAACGTCTCGCTCGAGACATCCTCAACACATCTTCATATTAGACATCCGCCTGGGCGACCTGGACACGTGAAAACAAGCGTATCTCTCAAGACATTCTCAACACATCCTCATGCTAGGCATCCGCCTGGGCAACCTGGACACGTGCAAACAATCATCTCGATCGAGACTTCGTCAACACATCCTCATGCTAGACATCCGCCTGGGCGACGAGGACGCGTGAAACCAAGCGTCTCGCTCGAGACGTCCTCAACAAATCCTGTCGCTTGACCTCTGCCTGGGCAACCTGGAGGCGTGAAACCAAGCGTCTCGCTCGAGACATTTTCAAGACTTGGGCACGTGAAAACAAGCATTTCACTTCTCAGATCCTCTGAATTCTGGTTCCCAGGAGAGGACAATCTGTAACACAAAACAATCGTTTCTCTCGAGACATCCTCAACAAATTATGAAAAACGAATAAAAAAAAAAAAACAAAAACCAGAAAAAAGAAAAAAAAAAAAAAAAGAAAAAAACAAAAAAAAAAAAAAGGAAAAAAAAAATGAAGAAAAAGCAAAAAAAAAAGAGAAAAAGGAACAAAAAAAAAAAATAAAATAAAAGAAAAAAAAATATAAAAAAAACAAAAAAAACAAAAAAAAAAACAAAAACAAGCGTTTCGCTAGGGACATCCTCAAATTTTTATTCGCCGGCCCACCACGACCTCGATATTCATCGCAAAAGAACTTCGCCGGCCCACCTCAAGTCAAAACCGGGGGTAAACCATCTAAAAGAGAATCCTGGACCTATGCCCTTTCCGGGGGGGGAGAAAAAACAGTTCGCTCGGGACATCCTCAAATCTTCATTCGCCGGCCCACCTCGACCGCGATATTTATCGCAAATGAAATTCGCCGGACCACCTCAAGTCCAAACCGGGGTAAACCACCTAAAAGAAAACCCTGGGCCTGTGCCCTTTCCGGGGGGGAAAAAAAATCGCTCGGGACATCCTCAAATCTTAATTCGCAGGCCCGTCTCGACCTCGATATTCATCGCAAATAATTCCGCTGGCCCGTCTCGAGTCATCCCCGGTGGTAAAACTATTAATAGAGAACCCTGGGCCGAAGCCCTTTCCGGGGAAAAAGGCCTTAGTTTCTAGTGAGACAGTTGCCAAATGGGCGCCAAATGCTGCCGAAATAGATGTTTAACGATACAGATGCAGCGAGCGCAGCACGAGGCAGGACACGCTGGCTCTCAGAGGGCCCCCCCTGTCCCCGCGCGTCTTGGCAAGCGAAAAGAATCGAGTCTCGCTCGATGCCGCATCTCTCCGCTCCGCCTCCGGTCCCATCGTCGACGATGCTCGTTCGATGCTGCACCGCGGGCAAGTCGGCCCGAAGTAAGCCCCCAGGGGGCGAAACGCGTAGCCTCGTTATCTCGTCGCTCCAGAACCGACCCAAAACAATTTTTGATCCGCGGGTCGAGAGCGCACCTCTTCCAATTACCTAACAGCGAAGACTGATAGGTTTCTAGTAGGGTCAAAAGAGAGCATCATGACGCCCCAGGGGGGTCTGGGCGCGATCCGGGGGAGGATGCCGGGGGGATGCCGGGGAACTCGTTTTAAACAAACAGTAACGCCCTTCGTGGTCTTCGAGTTCCCAGAACTCCATTCCTGGGCATGATTTTGAATGCCCGGAGCCAACTGTAGGCCACTTCGCGTTCTTCGTGTTCCCAGAATACCACTCCCGGGCCACATTTTGAATGCCTGGAGCCAACTGTAGGCCACTTCGTGTTCTTCGTGTTCCCAGAACACCATTCCCGGGCCACATTTTGAATGCCCGGGGCCAACTGTAGGCCACTTCGTGTTCTTCGTGTTACCAGAACACAATTCCCGGGCCACATTTTGAATGCCCGGAGCCAACTGTAGGCCACTTCGTGTTCTTCGTGTTACCAGAACACCATTCCCAGGCTACATTTTGATTGCCCGGAGCCAATTGTGAGACTGAGGATGAGGCAGGCTGAGGCTGAGGCAGGCTGAGACTGAGCCTGAGGCAGGCTGAGGCTGAAGCTGAGGCTGATGCAAGCTGAGGCTGATAGGCTGACGCTGAGGCTGAGGCAGGCTGAGGCTGAGGCTGAGGCCGAGGCAGGCTGAGGCTGAGGCTGAGGCAAGCCGAGGCAGGCTGAGGCTGAGGCTGAAGCTGAGGCAGGCTGAGGCTGAGGCCTGAGCTGGTGGCCTGGGCTTGAGGCCAAGCTGCGGCTGAGGGCCCCCCCAAAAACCAAAAGAGCTGAGGCTGAGGCTGATGCAGGCTGAGGCTGAGGCTGAGGCTGAGGCTGAGGCTGAGGCTGAGGCAGGCTGAGGCTGAGGCTGAGGCCGAGGCAGGCTGAGGCTGAGGCCGAGGCAAGCCGAGGCAGGCTGAGGCTGCAGAATTCTAAAACTGGATTCTCACCTAAATCTTAAGGGGAATGCTTCCAAATATGCTTCTACACATCGCTGTCAGGTTGCTTTGCCGGGATAATGTTTGATCTGCAAGTCGAGAGCGCACCTCTTCCAGTCGAAGCCACCGACCCAAGACAAGCACTGCTCTGATCGAATCCAGGCCGAGGTCAATTCGAGTCGCCCCCAGACATTCTCACGTGCACCGTCGGCCTGCGTCTTGACACAAAAACTTACTCCAGCCTCGGCGGCGGGGCCTCCGAACAACGATAGAAAAAGAGGGAGCGCGGGAGCCAGGAGGCGGACGGGAGGAGAAAGCCCAGAGTGCCTGACGGCTTATAGACCCGCCGTTCTGCAGTGCGTGGGTCGGCAAGGCTAGTGATTCTGCATTCGCATCGGGCGTGCCGAAGACGGGGGCTGGGACGAGGAGGGTTAGCGCATCATGGTCGTGAGTATAAGCGTGTATACCGAGCGCATGGTCTCCAAGCTTGACCACCCACCCTGAGCTTGGAATCTTTCGGCCAGGACCTCCACGCCCGCTTTTCACCAGTGAGCCCTGCCATTCCACAGCGAGAAGGCGCCTGTTGAAAGCCCAAGAACCACCGATTAGAACGACCTGCGATGACTTGCGCGTTGTGTTTAACGCGGCGATCGCGGCTGGCACCATGTGCGCGAACGGCAGGGGCCGGCGGGTGCGCTGAAAGAAGAGGGGCCGTGAGATCTGGGAGGTATCATGGCCCCAGCCATGATATCCAGACACACACACACACAAACAAAAACACACACACACACACACACACACACACACACACTTCTCGACGCCTGGTGGTCCGCGGGCCGGATCTCCAGCCTCTCTAAAAGGCGCCCGGGGCGATCCGAGGCCTCCCGCAAGCTCTCGCCGAGGCGCAGCTGCCGGAAGGCATCGCCGAAGCCAGAGAAGCGCCCGGAAAACGTCGGGCCTCGGACCCCTGATCGCCCGACCCAGACCTCGTCCGCAGCCCCCTCTTGGACGCGCCCGTTGCTCTGGGGAGGCAGGGCCGTCGTGCACAGGAGGCCAAGGGCCGGGTCGGCGGGCGCCAGCAGCGCAGGCTCACACGCTCTGACGGCACCGGGGCTGGCCGCCCCGCGCGCATGAGGCCTGGCGGGGAGCCATGGGAAGGCGACGGGCAGCGAGGGAGCTTCGCCCGACTCCGACGATCTGATTTTTCAATCGGTGATTGTTCCTCGGTTTCAGCCCTCGGGGACCCAGTGTTGCGCCTGGCAACAATCAAGCATGCATCTGGGACGAAAAACTACCCGCGGGGAAGCGGTCGGGACTTGTGGGGCTGCGGATTGAAATATTATGTATGCATATTGCTGGGAAGAGTGCCTCCCTGTCAGTGCCCAGTAAAAACTGAAACCATGGCTCAAACTGTTCTCCACTGGATATGGCAGCGAACCCGTCTACATGCCACCGTGTCCAGGGCCTTGACCTGGGCGCGGGCTCGCCTGGCCAAACAGATCCCCCAATGCCTGACATCACCCTGCACAACAACGGTGCATGGTTCAGGCGATTCCCGCCAACCGAAAAACCTGACCAGACAAGAACGGGAAGCGTCGATGTCGTCCACAGGTGTGTGAATTATGATATGTTTTTGATCTGCCGCGCAGATATGTCGTGGCGTGCGTGCGTTTGCGCGTGCGCGTGCGTGCGTGGAATATGTGCATGTGTGTCCGTCCGTGGTGGTCTGCGGCACTGCTGTGTTATGCCGTGCTGCTCTGCCGTAATCCTGCGTGTTAAAGTGAAAATTAAAGAGGGGGCCTTCAAGGCGGAGCGGCGGGGCCAAAAGGCCAAGAAAAGGACACGCTCACCCGAGAGGGGCCGCCTAGGGCCGCCTCTCGCCGCGGGGGCCGCACTGGGCCTTCACCGCGCGGCACCTCAGGCGAGAGTAGATCTACACACAGAATGCAACTGCCCGCCTCACTCTTCACTCTTGGGCCGCGTCGCGCAACGCGCACGGTCCAAAAGAACATCAAGGAGCCGCTGACGCTCCTCGGCATCTGGACAACCTGCACCTCCGAGGCGGACGCCGAGGGCGCGGGCCTCGGCCAAGTCCTGGAGTGACTCAACTCCCGACTTCGGCCCCTTGGACGCACACGCCACCGCCGCCACCGAGAAGCCGTCCAGGAAAGAAACGAACACGCCATCCGAGCTCGAGCGGCCCTCGCCCTCGGCGCAGTCGACGCTGTCCGCGACCAGGGGCGGCTCCATGTCGTCGCTGACGACGCTGCTACCGCCCAAGTGCAGCGCGACGTCGTCGGCAAACTCGACGGGCCCACGCGTAGACGGCCTCGAAGAGTCAGCATCGCCGGCACCAGCCAAACCGTCCACGCCGGCACGACCGCCAGCACCAAGCTCTGCACTAGCACGCCCCAAGACGGGAGGCAGCGGCGCACAGCCTGCAGCACCTCCAAGGACCTTCTGCGCCCCGAGGGCGGCGGCCACGGAGCAGGAAGAAAACACCACTGCACCTCAAGTACACCGCATGCCCTCGAAGTCGCGCAAACAATATGGCTCGGCCGAAGATCTCAGCGGCGTGCGCCTCCGCAGCGGCAGACCGCCCATGAGTTTCGGCAGCGGCTCAGCCTCGCAGATCTCCACGTCGATGTCCAGGCTACCTAGCCGAGAGACACAAACGCCGTGGTCGCCCACACTGCGGGCACCCTTCTCCTGCGACCCCAGGCGTTGACCCTTCTGGGCCTTCCTGAGGGGCGCGGCCGCAGCGGAGGCGATCGACAGCACCCCGTCGGCCTCGGCATGGAGCGCCACGTTGCGCCGTAGCCGCTCCAACCAGGTCGGCTCCTCCCCCCGCACAAGCGCAGCCAGCGCCGGGAGCGCCGCCTGGGCCCGATCCGCCAGCCCAGGCACGCCGACGAGCAAGTCGAGGGCGGCCTCCACCGCGCGCAGGCGGGTCTGGGCCTCACCAGCAAACTCCAGGGCACGCCGCACGGCCGCATCAGCAGCCGCTCGGGCGCGCCGCGCCGCCTCGCCTCGCTCGCGCCGCGAGCGGGGGAACCGCAGAGGACCCCCTCCCGTGACCATCCCTCGCCCAAGCAAGCTTGACCGAGCTGGCTTGAAAAAAGAAAGAAAAAAAAAAAAAAAAAAAAAAAAAAAGAAAAAAAAAAAAAAAAAAAAAAAAAAAAAAAAAAAAATGAAAAAAAACAGAAGAAAAAAAAAAAAAAAAAAAAAATAAAAAAAAAAAAAAAAAAAATAGAAAAAAAAAAAAAAAAAAAAAAAAAAAAAAAAGGAAAAGAAAAAAAAAAAAAAAAAAAAGAAAAAAAAAAAAAAAAAAAATAATAGAAAAGAAAAAAAAAAAAAAAAAAAAAAAAAAAAGAAAAAAAAAAAAAAAAAAAAAAAAAAAAAAAAAACAAAAAAATAGAAAAAAAAAGAAAAAAAAAAAAAAAAAAAAAAGGAAAAAAAAAAAAAAAAAAAAAAAAAAGAAAAAGCCAAAATGGCTACGGAGAAATCCTGCATGTTCTGCCGTGCTCCTGTGTGTTCTGCCGTGCTCCTGTGTATTCTGCCATGGCCCTGCTCTGCCGTGCTCCTATGTGTTCTGCCGTGCTCCTGTGTTCTGCCATGCTCCTGTGTGTTTTCTGCCGTGCTCCTATGTACTCTGTGTGTTCTGCCGTGCTCCTCGTGATCCTGCGTGTTCTGCCGTGCTCCTAAAGGTTCTGCCGTGTTCCTGCGTGTTCTGCCGTTCGTTTTGCCGTGCACCTATGTGTTCTGCCATGCTCCTGTGTGCACCGCCGCGCTCCTGTGAGTTGCCGTTGTTGTCGGGCCCTAAAGGCAGGGAGGAAGAACAAGGGACAGAGAAGAGGGCAATGAGAAGAGAAACGAAAGAGGGGGAGGGGTTACCCGCCACCCTCGCCGCCGCCACCGGTGGCCTGCGCGGGCGCCAACACGGCGAGGGCGGCGCCGCTGGCGCCCTCCAGCCGCTGCTGCGTCGCGCATGGCCACTCCCCTCGGCGCCAGCCGCGGTCCAGCCTCTGGAGCGCCGCTCCATGTTGCCCCCTCGGCAGCATGTTCCGAACGACGCACTCGATCCACCTGCGGACTACGGCCCTGTCGCGGCCTAGGGGGGGCCGCCTCCGCCAGCTGCTGGCGGGCGCGCGCCAGCGCGTCGCCAGAGAGCGCGCGCGCCACCTCGCCCACGAGCGGCACCGCTCCCTCGACAACGTCCTGCACCGCCAGGTCGACCTGCGTCTGCGCGCTGCCGTGGCGACGAGCTCGCCGACTACGACGCGCACGCAGGGAACCCTGGCCATCGGCCTCGGCCACGCCCTCCACCAGCGGGGGCCCACCGAGGGCATCGCCTGCGAGGGAGCCGTCGCCGTCAGCAGCGGCCTCACAGACAGCCTCGGCATCGGCCGCCGCCGCACCTGCCTTGCACGCATTGACGCCGTCGCCGACCACCGCGCCGCAGTCGCACAGCTCGCCGTCGTCGTGCCCCTGCACCTCTCGCGATTCCTGCACTCCGAGGGCGGCTCGGGACTCGGCCTCGCCACGCTCCTCGAGCTGCGGAAGCGGCGGCGTGCCGGCGCCCGCCGCATCTCCCTCGAGGGGGGGGGGTCGGTCGCGCGGGCAGCCATCCCCCGCAGGGGCCCTCCGACCGCCCCTCTGGGACGCGCGTCGCCCCCATCGCCGCCCGCCAGCAGGCCTGCGGCTGGCTCCACAAGGCTGACCCCCACGGGCGGCTCGGCTCCAGCGAGGACCACGGAGCCGTCCACGGACTGCTGCGCCGCCTCCAGCAGCCGCAGCCCCTCCGCCGCCTCGCCGCGCAGGAAGGCCGCAGCGGCCGCGGTGGCGGCCGCCGGCAACATCCACGCCCGCGAGTCCTCCGAGCCCTCGTCCGCCTCGGCGCGCAGTGCCTGCTCATCGAAGCGGACCTCACGGGCAGCCCGCCAAGCCTCGTCGCTGACCCACATGCGGGCTTGGATGTCGACGTCCTGCTCGAAAACCTCCTCGGCCAGCTCGCGCCTGGGCTCCGCGACGGGCTCCGCCAAGGCGCTCGGGGAGGCATCCAGCCAGCCTCGCTCCACCTGCTGCCGCTGCGCTCGTGCGCCGCGCCGCCTCCGACGGGAGCACGCCCGGGCGTCGCCGCCGACCGCTCCGCTGCCCTCCGTGGGGCCGTCTCGCCAGGAGCCGCGGCCGTCGGCAGCCATCGCGCCGCCGATCTCCAGCGCGGCCTCCTCGGGGGCCTCCTCCGACACCTGCTCCGCGGTGCCGTGTCGCCCGCGCGCGCGGACCAAGGCTCCGCGCACCCACTTCTGCAGCGTGACCGCCGCGCCATCACGGCGCGCGAGCTGCAGCTGCTGCTTCGACCATTCCTCAGCTGCGTGGGCGGCCACCGTCTGGGAAAGATCCCACTTGGCCGCCTTGCTAGGCCGCCGCCTCTTGCCGATCACATCGCACCAGCAATCCGAGGGAGGTAGGCGGCTGCTGGAATCGCCGCGCCTGCCGCCACTGCCAGCCCTAGGCTCGCCCAGGCGCGTCGGCGGAGCGCTCGGCCGCCGACGCGGTTTGGCCTCCGCTCTCGCCGCCGCGCCATCGCCTGGCGGGGGCCGACCAGGGCCACCCCCGCTATCGCCGCTGCCTGCGCGCTGGCGCCCGCTGCCGCCCGAGCCAGGCGGCCCGTCGCCCGCTGGCATCGCCGCCGAGCCGAGGAGCACGGAGAGGATCTCACGGCCTCGCCTCGCGCCCTCCTCGGCCTGGGGGCTGCGTCCAGGCCCGCCGTCGGGGCGCGCGACGAGCGGGCTGGCCGTCGCCCACCGGTGCAGCACCACGCCGACCACAGGCACGGCCGCGCCGAGCGCGCCAGCTGGGGGCCGCACCCAGGACACCACACGCCCCCGCTGGGCAGCGCGCCCCCCAGCATGGCACAGCGCGGGGGGCTGCCGCAGGGCAAAACGCCGCCGCCAGCCCCGACACTGCCCGCCCCGGCTCTCCACGGCGGGCCCCGCGGCCGCCATGGCGCCGGCGGACGGCGGCCCGGCGCCCGCCCCGGCCGCCCGCGCCATCCGGGCCCGCTCGCCACCTCGAACATGATGGCTTGAGCCAAAATGGCTTGAGCCAAAATGGCTTGAGCCAAAATGGCTACGGACGCTCCTGTGTGTTCTGCCGCGCTCCTGCGTGTTCTGCCGTCCTCCTCTGTGTCTGGTGTGTCCTGCCGTACTCCTGTGTGTTCTGCCATGCTCCTGCGTGGTCTGCCGCGTTCCTGCTTGTTCTGCTGTGCTCTGCCGTGCTCTGCCGTGCTCCTCCTGCTCCTGTGTGTTCTGCCGTGCTCCTGTGTGCTCTGCCAAACTCGTGTGTGTTCTGCCGTGTTCCTACGTGTGCTGTGTGTTCTGCCGTGCACCTGCGTGTTCTGCCGTGCTCCTGTGTGTTGTGCCGTGCCCCTATGTTTTCTGTGTGTTCTGCCGTGCTCTTCGTGCTTACGTGTGTTCTGAACTCCCGCCTTTGAACACCGCCGCCGAACGACGAGCACATCCAGCAGCGCGAGATACGTCGAGAAGCCATACGCCCACTGGCGCGTGGGCGAGACAACGCACTGCCCCGTGCTGCTGCTGCTTGCTGGGACCCGTCCCTGCCTGCGCGTGCCAGCAGCTTCCGAATGTGATCTCATGTGTCGTCCCTGGGGTTGTTTGGTCGAACCTTTCTTGCGAGGTCCGACGAGCACATCGAGCAGCGTGAGATAACAATCGCGCAGGATCGAGGCACCGAGATGGGGCGGCGGGCCTCGGGTCTGGACGACCCGCGCCGCGGGCCGGCCTGCCGCAGCGGTCAGGGCGGCTGCTCCTGGGGTTGCTGAGCACGGGCGGCACGAGACGAGGAGTGCGGAACTAAAGGGGTCCAGGGACACGCAAAGAAACAGACACGAGTCCCAGGATTCCCCCGTACTTTCCCGCATGTTCTGGGTTCCCGTCTTCCCCCCACTTTCCTAGGTTTCCCCCTATCTTCCTGGGAGTCGCCGATGAGTCGTGTCTGCGTGCTTTTACCTTCTTGGGGAACATGGAGCACAGACAGGCCTGCCTCCGAGGAGGCAGGTCCGAAAAAGAAAGGGCTGAGGCTCGGAAGCACAGGCTGCCGCCACGGACGGGCAGCAGGCGGGGCAGGGTGAGGGCGGCACGCGCCAACAGAAGGTGGTCCCCATTTTTACCCCGCCGGTTACAACATCGCCACCGACAGCATCGTCGACATCATCATGATCAACATCATCGTCGGACGGCCAACGATGAGGAGGGAGCAGGAACGATGACAAACAGGAGAGCAGCAAACCCACCGAAACGCGCCCGAAATGCCAAAACACGCTCTGCAGAGACACTAAACTGGGCCCCCCCCCCAGCCGGACATGGCCAGGGCCCAGGACCCTCAGCGCCACCTAGGCAGCCCCCCGCACCTCGATCTCTCGAGGCGCGTTGTCTGCGCGGTAGGGATCTTAGGGGACTTAGGGCGGACCTGCCCCCCTTCACAGGACGTCGGGGTCGTGAGAAACGTGCCACCCACGATCCTCCCTACTCGACTCTTTGCTCCTCGCTCCTCGCTCCTTCCTCCTCCCTCCCTCCCTCATCCTCCTCCTCCTCACTCCTCCTCCTCCTCCTCCTCCTCCTCCGCCTCGCCTCCTCTCCTCCTCCTCCTCCCCCTCCTCCTCATCCTCCTCCTCCTCCTCCCCCCCCCCCCTCCTCCCCCTCCTCCTCCTCCTCCTCCTCCGAGAGGGAGAGAGAGAGAGAGAGAGAGAGAGAGAAATAACAAAAAGAGAGAGAGAGAGAGAGAGCGAGAGAGAGAGAGAGAGACCTCTACAAGGGGGCTCTGAGCGCCAGCACCCCCCTCCGACTTCCCGACAGGACACGCGCGGCGCTCACGCAGAGAGCTTTAGGCGCCGAGGCGCGAGAAAGGGGAGAAGGAGGAGGACGGAGCGAGCGAGCGAGCGAGCCTCTGCAGGTGAAGCACGAGCAGACCTCAGAAGAACATAAGGAGGGGCGCGCCCACGGCGAACTCCATGTGACGGGAGGTGGGGAGGGGCGGCGGGCCTGCACGCTACGCGGCGGGCCCCCTGCCAACCCCCCTCTGCCACCACCTCCCGCCAGCTGCCCCAGCGGCTCGAGCACGCTGACCACGCAAGGCAGGGGAGGGCCAGACGACCCTCCAACGTCCTCGTCCAGGAAGAGGACCATTGCGCTATTCCCGTCGATCGACTCGATGACCACGTCGAGGCCCAGCAAGGGGCCGCGGGAGAACCGAGCACGCGAGCCGACGGCCAGTGAGGTGGGCGGACCCTTGTCCTTGTCCTTGCCCTTGCCAGAGCCTGGCGGGCGCGGCGGCAGATCATCCGCCCAGGCGTCGTCGATCGACGCGACCTCGTCATCGACCGCCATGCCGCTGCCATCCACCTCCGCCATGCGCAGCTGCGCTCCGCCCGTCGCCGCCGGCGCCAGGAGTTCCGAGAGGGGCCGCCGCGCGGCCCGCGCCGCCGCGCCCGCGAAGCCGCCGTCGGCGCCGAGGCGCCGCCGGGCCGCCTGCAGGCGCCGGCGCGGCCGCCGCCACCGGAGCATTGAGCGCTGCGACGGCTGCACGCAGCAGCCCTTCGGCTGCCCGAGGCAGCCGCACTCCATAGGCGGGAGCGGCTCGCAGCCGAGCCGCAGGCGGCGTGCGCGGCCGGGAGCGCCCCGCGGGGGGCCTCCACGGCACCGCGCCGCCCGTCCAGCGCCCCCGGCATCGGTGCGCCGCGGCGGAGCCTGCGATGCGAACTTCGGCCAAGATGGGCTAAGAAGGAGGAGGAGAGGATTTTGTTTGCAAAGAAAACAACTAGTATACAACGACGGCGCTGCAACGGCAGGGTGCGCAGGTCAACGGAATACCTCTTGCAGGCGGCTCCCGTGTCGACAGGAGGAGGAGAGGAATGAGGATGAAGGCAACGGAGAGGAAAGAGTGCAGGGAAGATAAGAGGAAAGAGTGCAGGGAAGAAAGGAAGATAACGAAGAGTGAAGAGGAAAGGGAAGATAACGAAGAGTCAAAAGCAAGAGCAAGTGCAGAGATACAAGAGTGCAGACAAGAAACAGTGGCATCATGACATTGTGGCTCAGGACCTTGGTTGAGGTGATGACATTGAGGGTGGTGCTGCAGGGGTGGGAAACAAGAGGCGAGCGAAGCGAAGAAAGCAAGGGCGACCAGGGATCAGAGAGAGCAGGGCGAGACCAGAGTCAAGAGATTCGCAAGTCTGACATGGAAATCATCCGCTCTGGTCCCCCGTGGCGACCCCGAGAGGAAACGGTAGGGGAGGACCAGCTCAGTGGAGGAAGCGCCGACCTGGGGTAAGCGATACCTCGCAGAGAGGTCGGCGCCCCCCTCGCCTCGCCCTCGATGTCGCGAGGGCGCCCTTCTTGAGGGGGAGCGCTAGGGAGGGACTGGCTCAAAGGGGGAAACGTCGACCTGGAATGAGCGATGCGTCGCCGAGAGATCGGCGACGGGCCCCCGACAGCGAAGCCGCAGCTCCCTGAACGAGGCGGGCTATCGGCCCCCCTATCGGCGATATGGGCGATTGGGGGGTCAATGCATCCCTCCCAGTGAAAGCTCAGAGGCCTGCGCGTTTGGTCTCTGCCCAGCCTCGTTTCTTGAGCAGCCAGGGACAACCACCTGTTCTTCTTGGAGGCCTCTTGGACCGTCTTGGACGCTGCGAGGACGACCGCATCCCTCCCTGAGCCTACGCTGCCCCTGAGATTCTCGCTGGACTCAGCTAGGACCTCCCTCCACATCTCCTTCCCTCTCTGGACTCCCAGGCTTCGGCTCCTTGTGTTTGGCCCAGACACTCGTCAGATCCTGCTGCGTGTATTGGAGTACCGAGTGGGACGTCGGTACCATCGCGGGCACCTGCGGAACAGGCAAGAGAACGAAACATCAAACGACCGAACTGCACAGAACAACAAGCCGAGTAACTAACCAGAAGAAATCGTACAAGAGGCAACGGGAAGCTCAAGACTCCAAAGAGTGAGGATAGAGGACGAATGGAAGACGAGAGAGAGAGAGAGGGAAAGAGAAAGAGAGGTCTTGTTATTTGTCTGTTGCCTGTGAGTGCCAGATTGTTCGTCCTTGCCACCCAGAACAGCAAGGCATGGATAGGGGTGGGATTACTGAGTGGATGTGCATGTGATAGCGTGGGCAGTTGGGTGAGTGAGAGAAGATCGGAACGCATCCGCGCAGGTGTGAGTCGAAGTGAAGGAACGGGCCAGGGGAGGCTCAGTGGATCGTTGGATGGATGGGGGAGTCACGAATGCTCGAGCCAACTACAAAAACAAAGTAGCCTGGCGAAGGACCCAACCATCTGCAATTGTGGGTACCGTCGTCGTATACACTATATTCGGTGGAGCTCCGTATGGGGCCACGAAACGTGTGATGGGTGTGCTAAAATCGGTGCGGTGGGCGCATGCGAGCGCCGGCATTTGGGCTTTCGATGGAGCTCCCTGTGGGGCCACGAAAGGTGCGAGGGGGGCGAAGACCTTGTCAACCAGTTCCTCGTCCCTAACACCCGTCTGGGAGACTGACATCATGAAGCGACGCCATTTGCCCGCACATCCCGCTGAGCTGCTGATACTGATACGTGCACTTCACCACGGCAGCCGCATTGTAAGACAGCAGCCAGGATCGCCGAATGCTTGCAAATTGCGGTGAAGTGAATAGTGGCTCGAGCGGCCTGGACCCTGACATCCGCCGATACGATTGGTTCGATAGCTTGGGGGGCGGAAAGATACGGATACGTGTTGTCCCCGGACCTCTCTTGGGGTGCGTTCTGACCAGAATTTCGAGGCGAATCCAGCGGTGACAACGAGGATTCCCCAGGAGGACCAGGAAAGGCCGAAAACGACGGGGGACAACACGTATCCGTATCTTCTTCTCCCCCGAATAGCCCAGCAGGCCTCGACACCCTTCCCCCGGGAGGCCTGCGCACCCGACACCACAGGAACGGCCTCGGGGCCCCAGCCCCCGAGGCCCGAGCCGAGGAGAAGCGCAGGCTGAGAAGGCCATCTCGGCGGAGGCCTGGGGACACGGCGCGGCGATGGCAGAGAAGCACTGGGCGGCGAGCGAGAGGGGGAAATGAGAAGTACAGTCGGGGCGTTGACCTGAGGAACCTGAAAGAAGGAACGAGGTCCCTGGATCCCAAAAGTGAAGCTTGGATGTCCCATCAAAAACCTCCAGAAAACCCGAGCCAAACTGTAAAACAATCAAGGAACACCGAGCCCCTCCCCAACGAGAAGGGTTCCTTCTTCAGCGCCCTGACTGTAGAGGGCCTTCTCAGAAGACTTGGAAGTCCCCCGGCCTTCTGAGAAGTTTTCTAAGCCTTCCCCGAAGACGCCAAAAACTTCTCGGAAGGCCCGAGGGCTTCTGAGAAGTCCCGCCGCCTTCTGAGAAGGCCTTTTTCTTCTCACTTCCCCCCTCACCCGCCGCCGAAGAACAGCACTGCGCCGAGGGTAGCAGGAGAGAGGCTGCCTAGCACGCACGCCCAGAGGAATGGAGAGAGGACGGTGGCGCCGCTCACACTCTCTGCAGGGCGCGGAGGGAAGACACGGCAGGCGGAGCGGAACAGGGAACAGACAGGGTAGGCAGACAGGCATGAGCTGGATCTGACTACCTACCAGACCACCCCAACCCAACCCGTAGACCCCGAATTTCGGGTTGGGGGGGGTACGGGTTCCATGTGTTTTTTCAATGTTCCCCAACCCCCCCACACTGGAAACGGAGGGCATCTTGAAGCCTTCGGGTTGGGTTGGGGTGGCTTGGTGGGTGGTGAGAATCGGATCGGACACGGGTCGGACCGCAAAAGAATCGTCCCGGATCGGATCGAACTCGGATCGCCGCGCCAAGCTCCGGCTGGCACCGGCCGATGCTAGTGAAACGGACCGAATCGAATCGAGTCGGAATCGCGGCCCAGGCTTGCGAATCGAAGCGTCTCGCATCGAATCGTGGGCGGCCCTGGCAGAGAGTGGACTAGGAGGTGGGTAGAGGGGGAACGATAGCCAGGAACGCGACAAGATCGGACCAGGATGAGTCGGGGACCTGCGAGATCCGGCGGTCCTGAGAGATGCATCATGCGCCACGGCCTGCCGAGAGCGTTGCAGAACACACTGGAGCAATTTACCACGATCCTGGATCCGATTGACCGCCCCTCTCGCCTCGCCGTCGATGTCGCGAGGGCGCCTCGCTCCCACCCTTCTGAGGAGGGACGTGAGGGAGGGTTTGGCTCAAAGGGGGAAGCATCGGGCTGGAATAAGCGATGCATCGCCGAGAGATCGGCGACAGTCCCCCGATAGCGAAGCCGCACGTGCATGGGCGGGGTGGGCTAGCGGCCCCCTATCGGCGCTCAATGAGCGATTGGAGTTCGATGCTTCCCCCCCGGAGCCCATCACTCCCTGAAGGTTACCCCTGACAGGAGGTAAGCCGAGGGGAAGAGTACGCAGGAGCACAGTCAAACCGTATAATAAGGATGCGCGATGATGATGCAAGGGCCTCGGAAGGCAATTTCGAAGCTCTTCGAGCAGGACGTGGCCGACGAAAGTAGCAAAAGATGGACCGAGGAGGCGAGGATGCAGGGGTACCCTTGGGAAGGGAGCCCATCCTTCTTACGCGGGTTGCCTGTACGGCAGGTTGGTGTCGTGACGACCTCGGTGTTGACCTCTGACAACGCGCGGATCGTTCAGCACAGGAGCAGTCGCAGCTCAGCAGCATAGACCTCTCGATATCGGCGGATTCCGGGCCACTGGCGGCGTTCAGGCCCACAGAAGGGTCGCTCGCCGCCGCGTCAACACGACACGCCACGAGCCTACCGTCAGGGGTTTGATCATGAGCAGCAGAAAGTTCGCCTCGCCATCAGGCCCAGTGCCAGGAGGGCAACGAGGGGCGGGTAGGGGCGGGCAGTGGCGAGAAGTGGGCAGACATGACAGCGTAGCGTCGCAGTGGGAGGAGGAGCGAAACGAGAAAGCTGCCCGAAGCTGGGGTCCCCACCACCACCTCATCCATGTCCACCTCCTCGTTTGATTCGTGGAGGCTCGCTGGGTCCACGCCGAGCAGGATCAGCGTTGCGAGGCAAGTCGTGCATGGAAGTTGGATCAGGCGGCCAGACAACCAGAAGCTGTAGCCAGCCCAGACAGCGAAGAGACGAGGACAACAAAGGCAGATACGCACACGATGCGGGGACGGTGCCAAAGCAAGCGCGCCGGTGATGGCCTGCATTATGGCTGGCAGTGGCAATGGCACGGGCTGCCAGCCCGGGGAGGCGCAAACGGAGTCCACGTCCGCATCCTGCAGCGTTGGGCAGGGTTCGATTGCTGCTCTTGTGCTGCCTGCCACCCGAGGTTGCCTTCAAGCACAACAGCGATGACGCATCAAACGGATGCCGCGCTAAATGGCCATACGATTGCGAGAACAAAATCCGCCCCCATGCCGTACGCACTGAGTGAAGGAACCTCACGTCCCTTCGAGCCCTGCATCGGTGATTGCAATCACTCTTTACTGGGCACAGGCCCAGAATTCTCACAATCCTGTGGCGTTCCCGGGCTCTCCTTTTCGTGGGTCGTGCCCTTCCCGAGGTCTCCGAAGTATGGCTGGGGATACATATTTCTCACGTGTCCTCAAATGGCCTCAGGGACCGTCATGCGGTCGGCCCAAAAAGCCAAAGCTTTGAAGACACATAGATATACACATGCGTAAATTCTCCTTTCTCAAAAGAGAACAGACTCTACCCCCCCCCGGACTTATCGGTTTCCCCCTGGGATAATATGATTTCATATATATATATTATATTCTGCACACTCGTCAATCCCAAATATGAAATTATACAAGCCCAGCCACACCGGTTTCCCCCCCCTGAGGTTCCCTTGGAAAACACTATGCGGTGACATTTGTTGTTCTAACATAACACTTGTTCATAAATCCATTTCAAAAAATGAAACGAAGTGCACACGCGCGCGTCGTCGCGCGCGCATGCCGAAATCCTTCAAAAACCTTCGGTGCGGGAAGGACTGCGCAATCGATTTTCTCAAACAAAAAAAAAGGGTTTCGCAACACAGAGTTGCTAAAAAAGCTTCCGCGAAAGCTCTTGCGAAATCTTGAGAAAACCATAGGTTCTTCAAGATTTTCACAAAATGCTACCAAACGGGTTTCGCGCGCGCTCATGTCGAAATCTGTCGAACGCCCTTGCGCGTGTGCCGTCGCGAGAATCCTCTGCAAAAAGTGGGACGAAGTGCAGACGCGCGCGTCGTCGCGCGCGTACGCCGAAAACCTTCAAAACCCATCGGTTTCGGAAGGAGTTCAAAATCGTGTGTCCAAAAAACCTACAAAAACACAAGGTTTCGCAACACGGATGTTCAACAAAAGCGTGCGCGCGCGCTCTTGCGTCGTCGTCGTCGTCGTCGCCGTCCTCCCTCCTCCCGCGTCGTCGTCGTCGTCGCCTACGTCGTCCTCTGTCTTTCCTCGTGTTCGTCGTCGTCGTCCTCTTTGGCGTCGTGGTCGTTTCCGTCGTCGTTGTCGCCGTGGTCGTCCTTCCTCCTCCTCCCTCGTCGTCGTCGTCGTCCCGTCGTCGGCGTCTCGTCGTCGTCCCTCCTATTTCGTCGCCGTCGTCGTCGTCGTCGTTGTCGTCGTCGTCGTCTTCCCTCCTCCCTCGTCGTTGCCGTCGTCGGCGTCGCCGTCATTCCTCCTTCTTCGTCGTTCGCGTCGTCGCCGTCCTCCCTCCTCCCTCGTCGTTGTCGTCGTTGTCGCCGTCGTCGTCCTCCCTCCTTCCTCGTTGTCTTCGTTGGCGACGTCGTCGTCTTCGTCGTCGTCGGCGTCGGCGTCGTTGTCGTCTTCGTCGTCGTCGACGTCGGCGTCGTCGTCGTCGCCGCCGTCGTCGTCGTCGTCGTCGTCGTCGGCGTCGTTGACGTCGTCGTCGTCGTCGTCGTCGGTGTCGTCGTTATCGTCGTCGTCGGCGTCGTCATCGTCGTCGTTGTCCTCGTCGTCGTCGTCGGCGGTTGTGTCGTCGTCGTCGTCGTCGGTGTCGTCGTCGTCGTCGTTGTCGGCGTCGTCGAAGTCGTTGGAGACGTCGTCGGTGTCGTCGTAGTCGTTGTCGGCGGCGGCGTCATCGTCGTTGTCGCTGTCGTCGTCGGCGTCGCTGTTGTTGCCAAGTGCCATGTGGGGTACCCACCGTCACGGTCTTAAGAGATTTTGCAAACCAAGTTGCGGGTGGGTGGGTGGGATTCTTGCGCGAGCAGTGGAGTGGACAACGCACTGCGAACAGAAATTAATACAAACTATAGAATACACAAGACTGCGGTGGCGATTCACGACATGCACCTTAGTCCTCGAAGTTTGGCATCGGCGGATGAGCAGGAAGGGAAATCGAAAAAATAGCGATAACTCCTCGACGCCTTGTCCGACATCGTCGTCACTATAATGCCTTCTGTTATCCTTCCCTCGTGTTTCCTGCTCCTCTTCCTCATCCTCGCCCTCCCCTGCACATTCTTCCCCATCATTTTCTGTTTTTTTGCGGAGGCTTCTCCTTGGAGAGATTATTGGGAGCCTCACGAAAATTGTACAAGGTTTCTTGGGGCCTTCTGGAACCCTCCTGGGCGCCTTCTGGGGGCCTCTGGGGGCTTCATTGGGCCATCCTGCTTCCAACTGCGGTCTCCCTAAACGACTGGGCCGCGATTTGGAATGCTTCGGGGGGCGTCGTGGAGCCATTTTGTGCCTTCATGGGGCCCTCTTCGGGTCACCTTGGGGCCGTGTTGGGCCGTTTGGGGGGCCTCTTGGACTGCCTGGAAATCCTTTCGGAGTGTTTTGGCGTGATGATCGAGCCTCTTGGGCGGTCTCGGACGCCTGGGGGACCTAAGAACAGAGCATTCCCAACACCTTTCTTGACATGAACGGAAGCGCGTGAAATCAAAGAGCTTGGCAAGAACGTGCACCAACATCAAGATCGCATGTCGCGTAGGCGCTCTTTCCGAATGTCCACAAGGGGTACCAAGTGGACTTCGATATCCGCGCCAGTTCAGACGTGCCGCTGACCCCGAACGTCCGCAAGAAGAACCATATTGAGTTTACGATCCGCGCAAATTCCGACGTGCCGCTCACTCCGAACGTCCACAAAAAATACCAAATAGAATTCACAACCCGCGCAACTTCAGTCACCGCTCACCGCGAACGTCCACAAAAGATACCAGGTAGAGTTCATTACCCGCGCGAGTTTGGCTTTTCGAGGGCCCCCCAAAGCCAAACGCAAGCGCACAGGCCGCCGCTATCGCATCGCAATCAGCGGTCGAGGGTTACCCCAGTTGGCCCGCACCAACGGCCACTCCAAGGAAGGGTCACTCTAACGTAAGGATCCGCGCCGCCACTCCACCCGCACAAGCACATTTCGGGACGGACAGGGGGGGGGGACAGCACAGAGGGGGGAACGAATCGGCTCACATGGCTGGCTTTCCCGGCACCTCCCAGCGCCAGACAGCCATGTATCGAGGCGGCGGAGTCGAAACCAGCTGCACGCAGCAGATTTCATAACACTCCTGGTTCCCTGTCCCCCCCGAGTGAACCTCGTCGCCTGGCCCTCTGATCAAAACTCGGAACTCCAGCAGCCGATCGGGACGATTCAGGCACCCCTGGAACGCTCTCGGCGAGGCGTAGCTGCTGGAGAGCATTTGGGAAACAGCCGAGAACCGACGGCAACGTCCGAAGACCTCGACCCTGTCTCCTCCCCAAGTGGGGTGCGCCGAAGAAGGGGTCCATGAAGAGGCGGGGGTGCGCATCATGCCCCGAGCACGTGCGCGGACGAGGGGTTGCCAGAGGACGCGCTGAGAGAAGAAGAGGGGGCCATGAACAGAGAAACGAACTCCATACACCGACGCATTTTCTGGCACTGCACTGACACTTATATAAGAAACCGTATCCTGGTGTATACGGGATCCTGGTGTATACATTCTTCCTCGTTTCCCGGGAAACGAAAACCAAAAGTATACACCGCAACACCCCGACGTCGTCCCCAACCCTCAAAAGTCCTCGGACTGAGAAACAGCCCGCCACTGGTAATGTATATGTTCCAGCTTCCGAATGAAATCTGGAAGATGTCGTGGCAGTGGTCATGATACCCAGCCACCTCCTCAACGCCTGGTGGCTCTCGGGTCATATCTCGGGCCTCCAGCAGCCGATCGGGACGGCCCAGGCACCTCCGGAGCGCTCTCGGCGAAGCGCAGCTGCTGGAGAGCATCCGGGCTGGAAAACCGCCGAGCACCGACGGCAACGCCCGAAGACCTCGACCCTGTCTCCTCCACGTCGGGTGCGCCGAGGAGGGCAGTCAGGAAGAGGCGGGGGTGCGCACCACGCCCCGAGCACGTGCGCGGGCAGGTCTTGTGGCGAGGGGACGCGTTGAAAGAGAAAGCAGGGGGACCATAAAATCCGGGAGCTGTCGTAGCAGTGGCCATGAGATCCATCCCCTCTAATCCTCACCCACCTCTTGGACGCCCCTGACAATCCCCCCCTTGAGATCTGACGCTGCGAAACAATGCAACGGCGGGGAAGATCACGACTGGAGCCCCAAGCCCCATCTTTCAGCGGCACTTTTCGAGATCGAGCTGTGATGGTCTTGGGGCCCGAAACTGGGCAAAGACGCCCAGTGTGAAAGCATCGCAACGCCCTGGATCTCAAGGAATGCCCCCCGCCTGATTTCGGATCCGCCTTACTTCGGTTGATTTGTTCCGACTAAAGACTGTGCCAGAAAACTGCACCCCAAGCGATGCGAAAAGGCTGACACCCCCGCCCCAGTAGGGCGGGCATCTCCGCAAATGTGTGGTGGAAACAGCGACGGAAAAGCAGAGCGGAAAACGGCATCCAGGGCGCTCAAGCCGCCCAAAATGCGAACTCCGGAACGAACTTCTCCAGGACACTCCGGGCCCATCCTGCTGTCTTCCGAACGGCGTGTGCTCTCGGCGATGTTGGCGACATGAGAAAAAGCACGGCGAATCCGAAGTCGAGCGGCCCCCACGTCCGACCCCGACCTCCTAAAACAGAGCTAGGATCAGGATAAATCGCTCCAGAGCGTTCCGGAGCGCTCTCAGAGCGTTCCGGAACGCTCTGGAGCGGCCGCGGCGCCCAATACATCCTCCAAACCCGCCGATTCCCAGAGATTTCGAGTTATCCCGATCCGATTTTGTCCCGATCTTCGCGTCGTTTGACCTCCCTGGTGCTGTCCTCCAGGCCCGGGAGCGAATCCGAAGTCGAGCGGCAGGAGGAGCAGGAGGAGGAGGAGGAGGAGGAGGAGGAGGAGGAGGAGGAGGAGAGAGGAGAGAGGAGGAGAGAGGAGGAGAGAGGAGGAGAGAGGAGGAGAGAGGAGGAGGAGGAGGAGGAGGAGGAGGAGGAGGAGGAGGAGGAGGAGGGAGGAGGAGGAGGAGAGGAGGAGAGAGGAGGAGAGAGGAGGAGAGAGGAGGAGGAGAGAGGAGGAGGAGGAGGAGGAGGAGGAGGAGGAGGAGGAGGAGGAGGAGGAGGAGCTGTCCTCGAGGCCCGGGGGCGGGCCGGGCCACCCCACGCCGGGGACGCCCGCCAGGCCGGCGCCCACGGTCGAGAGCGGGGGCTCGCGGGGGCAGCTCGAGGCCTGGGCGGCACGCCCGGGGCTCGGGCTGGCCTTGTCCTCCTCCTCCTCCTCCTCCTCCTCCTCCTCCTCCTCCTCCTCCTCCTCCTCCTCCTCCTCCTCCTCCTCCTCCCTCGTCCTCCTCCTCCTCGTCCTCCTCCTCCTCCTCCTCCAAAAGAGCAGAAGAAACCCCCTCGCAATCAGCACCCCGACAGGCGGAGCCATACTATACACTGTACTCTACTGTACTCGCTCTGCGCAGCCAAGGGCTGGCCCCCATCGAGGGGAGAGCGGCGCGCTGCCAGAGCGCGGGCGGACCCGCCCTGCGCGGACAAGCGGGGCCGGGCAGCAAGTGCACCCGCGGAAGGAATCGAACAGGACACGGATGTTTAGTGAACGCCCAGGGCCGGTAAATAAACGCTAATTATAGGGGGCGGGGTGGCTTTCCTCCCTGGGCCCTCGACAAGAAACTGCGAGCAACCCAGGCCTCCGACTTACTGATCGGTTTATCGGTGAGTGTCGGGGAACACCCCGACAGAGACTGCGAGTGAAGGCAAAAAAGTGGCGAAGGTGGCGATGGGCACGCAACAGGTCAAGGAAGCGTTGGTAACCACAGAACCGTCCCTGCCCCTGGCCAAGGGAAAAGGCACAGTGGTCTCTCATGGAGCAACAAGTCCTTCTGCTGCCCCACGGAACAGTCGTGCGGAGTCCAAAACTGTTTTCTGGCGATGGGCGCGCTGCGTTGATATTCCTTCCTGCATACCACGCATGATCAACATGTCACGAGCAAGATACAATCAAGGAGAGACCCGCTACTGCATTCCAGAGTACCCACAAGATGATTCAAACCGTATGATAATGCCATTCGCGCGTTCCGAAGTGCAGGTATCAGCTAAACGGGAGAACGTGCCAAGCATCCTGTCGTCTACACCGGCAGGAAATGTGGAAAGGATCTGCATGTGGCCAGCACGTCTCGTTGGTGCAATCGTTGACGTCTACTTTACCAAACTCGGCCATCGCCGTAGCGGTCAACGGCTCGACCGTCGAAACTGGCAAAAGGCATCACGACACGCACTGTGCTCTGTATCAGAAAACGGCGCAGAACCACCCAACGCTACGAAGGCATAATTTGACAAGCACAGCATCGTACGTCACGACACGCATATGCTCGCGTCGGAATCCGTAACTTACGATCGATGTTTTCGCGTTGCTTAGCTCTTTCACTGCACAAGGAGACGTCACATTCCGAGCTCCGATACATCAACACACCAAGCTAGAACAGAGCAACTGGAGCAAGCCCTGAGTCTGCGAGAACAGACATGGCCACCGCGGGTGCCCATCGTACACTCCCGCTTCGGGGGATCTTTTCCAGTAGGCAAGAAAACGAAGTGGCGTCAATCCGCAGGCCCCGCTGCAGGATCACTAGATTGCGCGGCCCACGTGTTCTGGGAAATGTTAGAAAACGTGGACCCCAAAAATGTGTGCCTCTAGCAACCCACTTGAAGCCTTCGATGTGGAGCAATGTATGCTGCGCAATCTATGTGGTGCATTATATGCCTGGCAATCAACAGTGTGCAACATATCTATATAGTACATGCATAATATACATATATATATATCCAAAGTATTAGAAAATACTCATGTATAGTTATATCTATAAGCATAAAACTATATATATATAAATATATATATATATATACATACATACATATAGAACCACACGCGCTTCGCGAGTGCTTAGATCCTAGCTGAGGTCCCAAGCATTTGCGGCGCACGGAACATAATGGCTGCGAACCTCATTGAGTCTCGTGGTCGTTTTAGTGAACGTCCTCGTCGTCGTCCCTGTTTCCTTCTAGTCCTCCTCCTCCTCCTCCTCCTCCTCCTCATCCTCCTCCTCCTCTTCCTCGGCCCATGTCTGACACTGGACTCTGGTTACCTGGACCCCTTGATCTTACCTGTCCTGTTGCGCATTCTGATCAGCATCTCGCAGCGAATCCACGCGCGGCGACAAGGGCTCCTGAGGAAGAGCAGCGGTACCAGTATCTGCGCCAGGGAAAGGGGGAGTGGGTGAGGGGCAAGGGGGACGGGGTAATGAGGGTTGGCGACAGAACAGAAAAAGCGGATGAGAAAAGACCGAGGAAAGAAGTTGCTTGTCCAATTCCTCCCGTGTTGGGTTCCCGTTTTGAATCGGCACTGAGCGCTCCGAGTCTCCTCCTCCGCCGCCTCCTCCTCCTGCCTCTTGCCTGGCGGCTGCCTGGAGGGCTGCGAAGTGCGCAACCGTCGCCACACTTGTCGGCTCCTGTCGGGTCGGGCGAAAGGGGGGGATAGCAAAGGGGGGGTTTGAGAATCAGCTCACGTAGCTGATTTTCCCGGCGCCTCCCGGCGCCGGATGGAGCTATGTATCGAGGAATCGGCCCCTCGGTGAGGCCGAAACCAGCTGCATGCAGCAAATTTCGTAACCCCCCCTTTCCCAATCCCCCCATTTCGCCCGGCCCGATCCTGGGAGGTCCCCACGGGGGGACACGGGGATCCCATCCAGGCCTCGCGGCTCCGTGAGGGGCTGCGAGGTGCGCAGCTGTCGCCACTGTCGTGGGTCCGCGGGAGGTCCCGCGGAGCGGGGGAACACAGGGGATCCAGTTGAGAACTCGCGGCTCCCTGGGGGGCTGCGAGGTGCGCCACCGTCGCCACTTTGGTGGGCTCCTGGGAGATCCCGCGGAGTGGGTGGGACACGGGGGTAAAGTTGAGACCTCGCGGCTCCTGGGAGGGCTGAGGTGCGCAGCTGTCGGCATCCTCGTGGGCTCCTGGGAGGTCCCGCGAAGTGGGTGGGACACGGGGGTAAAGTTGAGACCTCGCGGCTCCTGGGAGGGCTGCGAGGTGCGCAGCTGTCGGCATCTTCGTGGGCTCCTGGGAGGTCCCGCGGATTGGGGGAACACGGGGATCAAGTCGAGAACTCGCGGCTCCCTGAGGGGCTGCGAAGTGCGCAACTGTCGCCATTTTCGTGGGTTCGTGAGAGGTCCCGCGGAGTGGGGGGGACACAGGGGATCCAGTTGAGACTTCGCGGCTCCATGGGGAGCTGCGAAGTGCGCAACTGTCGCCATTTTCATGGGTTCGTGGGAGGTCCTGCGGGAGTGGGGGGGACGCGGGATCCATTCGAGACCTCGCGGCTCCCTGGGGGGTTGCGAAATGCGCAACTCTCGCCACTTTCGTGGGCTCATGAGAGGTACCGCGGAAGGGGGGGCACGGGGATCCTGTGAGTCCTCGCGGCTCCCGGGGGGTTGTGCAGTGCGCAACTGTTGCCACTTTCGTGGGCTCCTGCAAAGCCCGAATCGAATTGGGACGAACCGAACCGGCGCGAATTGGTGATAGTTCCAACACGAATCGAACCGAACCGAACCTGTGGTCTTCGATGCTCGAGCCGAACCGAACCATACAAATCGACTTTAATGCGAAACCAAACCGAACTGGAACGACCGAACGAACAGGAACGGACCGGAAACGGAACCGGACAGAAGCGGAACGAACGAACCTCCACGTCAACTCAACGAGTCGTCGTCGTCGCTATAGCACCCAGAACCTCGTGACCCCGTGACCACTCCCCCGCGGGACCCCGTGACCCCGTGACCCCTCCCCCGCGGGCCCCCCCGCGGGGCCCCCGTGACCCCTGTGACCCCTCCCCCCCGTGACTCCCGTGACCCCTGTGACCCCTGACCCCCGTGACCCCTGTGACCCCCTGACCCCGTGACCCCTGTGACCCCTCCCCCGCGGGACCCCCGTGACACCTATGAACCCTCCCCCGCGGGGCCCCCGTGACCCCTGTGACCCCTCGCCCCCGTGACCGTGACCCCTGTGACCCCTCCCCCGCGGGACCTCGTCCGGGGCCGTTTCGGATTGCACCGGACCTGAACAAGCGCACGCGTGAAAATGCATCAAAAACTATTGCAAAATGAACGAAATTCGGCCATTGGGGCCTCTCTGGCAAGCTTTAGGGAGCTTTTTGGAACATTTTGGAAGCATCCTGGGTTGTCTGGAGGCTGTCTTGGGCGTCTTGGGTCGCTACTGTGGTGAGCGGGAGCGGCCCTAGGTTTCTCTGGGACGGTTCCCAGAAGCCGAGGGCAAACATGGCGACGCGGGGTAGCTGGCAGGGCGTCCCCCCGGAATCCCGGGACGGCTCCCGGAGGCCGGGGGCAGCCATGGCGACGCGGGGCAGATGGCAGCCCACCACCCTCTGTAACCCACTGCGTGTATGTATGTATACATATATATATATATAAATATGTATACATATATATATATATATATATATATATATATATATATATATACATACATACATACATACATACATACATACATACATGCATGCATGCATACATACATACAGACATACATACATACATACATGCATGCATGCATACATACATGCATGTATGCATGCACGCACGCATACATACGTACGTACACACATACATACAGACAGACAGGCAAACAGGCACACACACACACGCACACATCCGTACATATATACATACGTACATGTATGCAAACAATGTATACATACACACAGAACTCCATACATGTACACCTTTTCACATACATTCATACAGTCAATATTACTCCGACGGAAAGACCCCACATGAGAATCATCTCGGCGAATCTGGAAAAAATCCTCACCGTCGGCCTCGTGCTTGGTGGGGTCTCCCCTCATTGTTTCTTTGGCGTATATGGATTCTCGCCCAGGCGCAGGCCCCCCTCCCGCCCCCTACGTATCCCCCATCCTCGCCCTCCTGTAATTTCGCGCCCCGCCACCTCCCCCCCGCCCTATTGCACGAGCGCGGCACGTCGATTTTCCTCGGCGCCGTCGCCGCCCCGGCCAGCACGGGCGCATTCTTTAATTGCCACGTCGCGCAGCCGCTGGCGCGCAACACCAAGCCGCCAGGACAATCCCGCGGGCTTCGAGCGGGGCGCGGCCGCGCTCAGGCGGGAGGCAGCACGAAGCTCAGCTCTGCCGCGAGCTGCCCCGCCCC